AGAGAGCCTAATCCTGTTGATGTCCTCCACTTTTAAGGAAATTCTTAGACATATGCCTCAGCTATATTGTTTCCTAATCTGCAACATGAGCATTGTGATTTAGAGCTTTTCCTAGTGTGCACTTGACCTCCAATTTAAACCATGTGTGTCCCCGAACTGGCACATGACATTTAAGAATTGCCATGCTAGCAAATCCAAAGTATGCTAAGAAGCTGCATAATGCTGTGTCTCTGGTGTGTATTGGCCTTTGGTGGAGAGTATTGTCTTCATTAAAATGCTTCTTATGCAGCTTGTTTTCTTCCTTGAGCATCTGACAGATGTGGCACAGCTTTAATTGGTGGCCTTGTTAATATTTTTTTTTAAATGTCTATAACATTTGTTTGGATACAAAAGGCACTGGATCAGATTTCTTTTCAGCTATGAACCTCATTTGAGCCACTTGGATGTCATATTTTATATACATAAATGAAACTGTATCATGGGATACAGCCCTTGTGGTTTGAATGTTAGACTATGACTTTGGAGACAAGGGTTCAGATCCCAAGTCAGCCATGAAAACTCTCTGGGTGACCTCACTGGGTGACTGGGCAAATCACACTCTCTCAGCCTCACAGCATGACAATGGCAAACCCCCTCTGAAAAACCTTCCAAGAAAACCCTATGATAGGTTTGCCTTAGGGTCACCATAAGTTGGAAACGACTTGAAGGCACACAACAACAACCAATGTTGGTTGGATATGAAAAACCTTGTTACTAGCTATCATATTCAGGTCCATAGTCAAAAGCAAGTTCCCAGTTATGACTTCCTGATCCTCTCCTGTCTAAACCTAACAGATTTCCATGTTGAGGCAACCCAGAACAATACCATAATGAATAGTATCAAATGCCATGGAAAAGCCAGTGACTCCAACACTATCATAGAATATTTCTTAACAGCTGTTATCTGATGAGGAAGCCAGTGGCGCTTGAAAAATCTGCAGTCTGTGTTTTGTGCATCAAGGCTGGCCAATAAAAGTATCGCTCTTTTATGAATTTTGGATTTTGTTTTATTCTATCATAGGTGGCTTGCCATTGTCCTCCTCTAAGGCTGAGAGTCAGTATGGTGTAATGGTTGGAGCATTGGACTAGGATTCCAGGAAATCAGGCTTTTAATCCCAGCTTAACCATGGAAACCCATCTTGGGCAATTCACATCCTTAGAGGCAATGGCAAACCTCCTCTGAACAAATCTTGTCAAGGAAAACCCATTATAGGTTTGCCTTAGAGTCACCTTATTGTTTATTATTATTATTATTATTATTATTATTATTATTATTATTATTATTATTATTACTGCTACTACTACTACTAGTAGTAGTAGTATCATACTCTTTTCCCAAAACTGGGACAGAGTGGCATCAAAATATTAAAAAAAAAATACAACAATTCCAAAACAATATAAAAAAACAATTCCAACCTTAAGTTGGAAGTTGAAGGCACAAAACAACAAGGCTGAGATCATGTGATTTGTCCAAGGTCATGTACCTACTCAGAAGTAAAACCCATTGAGATCTGTGGTGTTTACTCTTTGGAAAATATATACATAGGAATTATGTGCCTTCAGCTCCAAGCCAACTCTGACTTGGGTGACCCTCTCCTTGGGTTTTCTTGGCAAGATTGATTAAAATTTATTGATTTGCTATGGCCTTCCTCTGATATTGGGTTGTCACCAGCTCCCCCAAACATGTTAATGAAGAATAGATCATTCAGCTTGTCCACCAGATTGGAAATCAGAAGAAAAGTGGATGCTGCTAAAATAAAAGGTCATCGTGAATACAGAGATTGCCAGAACATGTTGAGGTGCCTATTATTTCCATGTCATGTCTTACCTCTGGCATCAAATTTTCTGTCAGAAGTGCTTCATCAACTGAGGTACATCTATGGTAATAAATATTATAATTTTAGTTGGTGTGCTAACCAGTCGTTTGAGGGAGAGAAAACCCCAAATCTGACTTCTTTCAGTACTGTTGGTCTTACTTCCTGAAAGTACTTCCTTTGGCCTTTTTATAACCTGAAACCTTGATGATAGGTTCTGTTTCAGATTTCAGAAGCGGGTAGTTAGCTTGGTTTAGATAATTGAGGCTTTTTATCTTCCTCTATCTGTGTCTGTGGAGCTGAAATAGTTTAAAATCAGGTGATTTTCAAGTTTACAGTTGCGTAGGTGGGGAGAATCCATCTAAATCATTAACTGGGTTGGATTTACAGACATTAACGGATTCACTTGTTTGCCCACAATTGTTCCTTGCACATATTTTATTTATTTTGTTTAAAAAGGAAGACATCAATCTCTCTTTTGTGGTTTGACATTATTGTTATTTTAATTCAGTTTTTACTATACTGTATAATCTTATGTGTGGTTTCATTTGTACTTGCTTTTATCTGTATCTGTCCCAATCTTTTAAGCCGTATTGGTCCAAACCCCACTGCAGAAATAATCCAGTTTGGGACCACTTTAACGGCCCTGGCTCAATACTAAGGAATTCAGGGAATTGTAGTTTTCTGAGACTTTTAACCTTCTCTGTCAAAAAGCTCTGGTTTCACAATAAATTACAATTCCCAGGATTTCCTAGCACTGAGCCAGGGCAGTTAAAGCGGTCTCAAACTGGATTATTTCTGCAGTCTGTTTCGGATCAATGAGTCACATTTCGGGAGGGGGGGAATAGGATATAAAAATAAATACTTTTTTAATGTAGCTATAGAAAATCCACTACAGATGGAATCATGGTGCAAAATCATTCCTTTTCACGCATAGTTACTCTTTTCTTTACTGTGTGACTCTGAGATTTGCATTTAACAGAATACAGCTTCCAAACAGCCCTGCATACTTCTTTGTACCTCTTGTATATGGTTGCTGTAACCTAAAAATCTCTGAAGTCCCTACTTTGGGGCAGTTACAGTCAGCCCTTATATCCACTGATATGAAAACCAGAGAAAAAACACTGAACGTGACCCAGCAGTATTATGCTGCAGAAAAGAAGGCAAATACAGTTGGCCCTCTGTATCCACAGAGTTTCCACCTATGGATTCAACCATCTACGGCTTGAAAATATTCAAAAATATATAAATTCCAAAAATCAAATCTTGATTTTGTCATTTTATATAAGGGACACCATTTCCCCTATGCCATTTTATAAAATGAGAGTTGAGCATCCACGAATTTTAGTATCCACCGAGGGTCCTGGAACCAAACCTCAGTGGATACCAAGGGCCCACTGTACAATTAAAGCATTTGTCTTGTTGGGATGCTTAAATGTCAACTTGAATGTTTTCCCAATTGATAAACTGCCTGGATGATCCAGAGATGTATTGACAAACACTTTGCACTGAGCTTCAGATAGCATCTCTGATTGCAGTCAGTGAAGCAAGAAAGCTAAAAAGCTACAAATTCTTTGTCAAAAGTTCCTTAATTTATTGCATCACCAGAAGTGTCTTACCCATTTCCACTTTGGCAATTCTGACAAGGCTAGAGGATTGTCCCTCCCCTGTTCAGAAATGGCAGAAGCAATAGTGTGTAGAGGAAACTGAGGCAATTGCACAAGTTCAAGTGACAGTGCAAAGGACTTACTGTTGATCATGAAACATGCAGGGATAGCTGTGTTGGCCATTTAGCAAATTCAAACAAAAATCCACCAAACAGTGATACCTTTATTGGCCAAACAAAATGCACAATATACTTGTTGCAAGCTTTCAAAGTGCCACTGAAGCTTTGAAAGCTTGCAACAAGCATATTGTGATTTTTGTTGATCATGAAGTTTAAGTGGCATTGCTCTGCCCTGAATCCTCTCTATTAGAATTGAAGCAAAGAAGGAATAATTATAATCATAATTATGTAATTATTCTTCCTTCAATATTTGGAACACACCAGTTGTGTAAAATAACATGGTTAACGATAGGAATTATATTTTTCTTTCAAGGCTTGGAACTCCTCTCCCCCTGCTCCCCCCTCAGATTACATAAAATTTTAAGAAAATACTGTAGTTTGTATGCAAATGGTGTGCTGTTTTCTAATATTTTTTATTTTTGTTTTAGTGAAACCATGTTTTAAATATGTTTAAGTGTTTTAACTGTTCTATAGCATGTTTTTGATAATACAGTGGGCACTTAGTATCCTCTGTGGTTTGGTCCCAGGACCCCCCTGTGGATAACAAAATCAATTGATACTCAAGTCCCATTGAATATAACAGCATAGTAAAACGGTTCCCTTATATAAAATGGCAAAATCAAGGTTTGCTTTTTAAAATTTATATATATATATATATATATATATATATATTGGAATATTTTCAATCCATGGATGCCTGAATCCATAGGTAAAAGATCCGTGGAGGGCCAACTGTAATAATATTTCATTCCTTTTAACTTTTGTACCATACATTAGTGTTTTAGCTGTAACTTTTTAAATTATTGCTGACTTGAATCCCATTTGAAAGAAAGGTGGGATATAAATTAAACAAATATATAAATAAATATTTTATTAAGTTTTGATGTCCAAACTAAATGTTACAGGGAATCATGCTTTATTTATTTATTTATTTATTTATTTATTTACATTTTTAAAAATCCCAGATTTGTTAGCCTAACAAGTACACTCACTTTTGGAATGCTCTGTAGTGCCAGCTAGTGGTAATAGATAGCAATTGTATCACTGTTGAACATGCTTTGGAGCCCCTCCAAACTGACCATTAACCTATAAAGTGGACCCTCGGTATCTGCTGGGGTTTGGTTCCATGACCCCCTGTGGATACCAGAAACCGTGGATGCTTAAATCCCATTATATACAATGGCAGAGTAAAATGGTATCCCTCGTATAAAATGGCAAAATCAAGGTTTGCTATCTGGAATTTATATATATATATATTTGAGAATATTTTCAAGCCATGGATGTTTGAATCTTTGGATAAAAAAAATCCATGGATATGGAGGACCAAATGTATATGCAAAGGGATTTTGTAGTGCCCAAGAGCCAGTGTAGCATAGTGGTTTGAGCATTGGAATAGGACTCTGAAGACCAAGGTTCGGTTCCCAGCTTGGCCATGAAACCCACTGAGTGCCCTTGGGCAAGTCACATGCTCTCAACCTCAAAGGAAGGCAATGACAATCCTCCTCTGACCAAATCTTGCCATGAAAACCCCATGCTAAGATCATCTTAGGGTTGCCATAAGTCGGAAATGACTTGAAGGCACACAACAGCAACAGACTTATAGCCCCTTTAAGGCTAACTGAAAGAGAGAAGTTGGTAGCACGAACTTTCGTAACCTTGAACCTACTTCCTCAGACGCATGGGATAGAGTGGAAAGTCCAGGGACAAACCATAGGTCTGCCACATACATCTGAGGAAATAGGCTCAAGTCTACCAAAGCTCATGCTATCTACTTCTCTCTTTCATTTAGTCTCAAAGGGGCTACAATATCTTTTTGCATACTGATTTTCCAGACTTACACAGCTGTGTCTTTGAATTATCCTATATAGGGCTTGAAGGTGATTAAAGGTGTCTTAATAAAGATGGCAAACTGTCATGCTCACCCTGTAGAGTGAATGTGTTTTTTAAGGGTTTTCTCTTCCTTCTTCAATTACAGGCTCTTGATGGGAATGTATATGATCACCTTAAGGATTATTTAATGGCATTCAGCAGGACTGAATTAGAAATATGCCAAGCTGTACAAAGCACATTCCAGTTTCTTTTGGAAACTTCCAGTCGGGTAAGTTCTCAAAAATACAAACATTTTTATGCTGAAATAGTTGTCAGAGGACAGGGGACCACCTTAATCCCTCCATGGGATCTGAACTGAAATAGAACTTTTTCAGGCAGAACTGAAATAGAAGGAAAATGAAGATGGAAGCTAAAGGAGGCAGAGTACAAGTTGACTCTCCCTTATCCGGAATTCCGAAATCAGTAATACTCCAAAAGCTAAAACTTTTTTTCATGAGTGGCTGAGATGGTAACACCTTTGCTTTCTAATGGTTCATTGTACATACATTTTGTTTCATGCACAAAATTATTTTAAAATATAATATAAAATAACCTCCAGGCTTATTTGTATATGAAAGATAAATGAATTTTGTGTTTAGACATGGATCTCCAAGATATGCACATATATGCAAATACTGGTATTCCAATTTTTTAAAAAAAATATTACCCAAAATCCAAAACACTTCTGGTCCCAAGCATTTTGGATATACAGTAGCTTCATCAGCCTCCTTGAAGGGGTGCTACTGTGACAGATGGACATCAGCTCCTTCACAAATGCAGAAGCTATAAAATGGTACTGGAGCATATGCTTTACTCACAGAAAGTTGCTGACATAGGTTAAGGATTTCTGATTGCAAAGCTGAGAGGGAAGCTCCTAGAGAGATACTCCCAATCAATAGTAGCTGTCTTGATGGCTTAGGCCCAAAACACACTACAGAAATAATCCCTTTTGAGACCACTTTAACTGCCCTGGCTCAGTGCTAGGGAATCTGGGAAACGTAGTTTATTGTGGCATCAGGGCTCTCTGACAGAAGCCTAAATGCCTCACAGAACTACAGTTCCCAGAATCCCCTAGCGTTGAGCCAGAGCAGTTAAAATGGTGTCAACCTGGATTGTTTGTACATTTGGACCATAGTGGCTTAGTTCTCTACGAGGTAGTGCCACATACCTGGGACCAAATTGAGCTAAGACACAGTATCACCATCTTCCTCCTTCTCCATTTCTTGCAACCAAAATATGATCTCTGTGGTAACACTGCATTCCTCTAGATTAACCTAGAAACTACCAAGTGAGGTTAGATTTTCAGTGGTTAAAAAATCCTTACAATATAATTTAATGTAATCTCTGCTCGGCCATGGGAACCCACTGGGTGACCTTGGGCAAGTCACAGTCTCTCAGCCTCAGAGGATGGCATTGGCAAACCCCCTCTGAAGAAACTTGGCAAGGAAAACCTGTGAAAGGTTCACTTTAGGGTCGCCATAAGTCGGAAAGGACTTGAAGGCACAGAACGCACACACAATTTGGTTAAGTAACATTTTGTGGTATTTTAGTTGTATCCAATATTATCTTTTAGGAGGAACTGTAATGCTTATGTACTCTCACTTTGCTAGCAGCTTTAATTGATCATACTTCCAAAACAGAAGGTATGGAACTCAGCCATATTGCTATTTTTCTGAGGCTAATTTGCAACTCATTCTCAGTACTGAGACTGACATTTAGGAAATATCAATAGTGTTTATGAGGGGTGAAATCCAGTTCTGCCTTCTTTGCTGTTTTCTCAAACAGCAAACAACAGAAGTGTAACTTTAATGGTTTTCAAAATTTGACCATGTGGTGCTAAATTGGCTGACAGGTGCAGAACCTGGAAATAATGTTTTATAAGTAACAATGTTACCTGCAAGACATTACTTTAATAAAAGTAATGGGATTAACATTGCTACATTTTTAATAGTGTAAACAATGAGTAATAACATTGCCTTTTTTAATGTATAAAGTAATATTTATATGTTATTTTGGAAGAGGTCATATAGCAGGATTTTGTATTTTTAAAAATTACAAAGTAGCAGATTACAATAGGCCCTTGGTATCCGCTGGATGGATACCAAAATCAGTGGATGCTCAAGTCCCATTAAACATAATGGCATAGTGAAATGGTATCCCTTATATAAAATAGCAAAAGCAAGGTTTGCTTTTTGGAATTTATATCTTTTTGGAATATTTTCAATCCATGGATATGGAGGGCCAATTGTATTAGCAAGCAACATGTGTTACTGAAAAATGACCAATGTTAGCAGCTTGCTTTTTAAAAGCAATGAGTAACAAATTTCCAATTAACAATTCAAGTTCTGGTTAGGTGCAGAGTTGGCTTGTGGTACGTGGGATAACAAAATCACTCTTTTCCTTCCTTCAGTAGAAAATTTGCACTGTCATTTGCCTAAGGTGTTCCAAACAAATTTCAACATTCACATGTGTGGAACCATCATGAATCAGTTCCCTTATTGTAAAGTCTCTCTTCAGTCATCTAAACATTGAGCAGTACTTATACAGCCCACAAAATTGAAGTTATTTGTGCCATCATATCATTTCTGTTTTATGGTGACCCACAAGTTACTGAGCTAGCCCAAATGGCCAAATAACATGGATTCTAAAGTATAAGCCAACCGGAGACTTTTTGGAAGATTGGAAGCCATTTATGGGTTTGGTTTTTTTGTAGCAGTAAGAAATCTAATGATGCAATAATCTGTGGCTATGGTTATTAATAATTTTAGTAGGCTTATTTAGTTGGATCTATAATGGTAGAATAAGCCCCCTCCCGTTTTTAAGTTTCATTACAATCAAGATTGTAGGTCAGAGCTTTACTGTGTATTAGTTGAATGCCTTTTCTTCTTCTTTTTTCTTTGTTTTTATTCTTTCCTTCTGTTTATCTTTGATTGTATATTATTTTGATTGTAAATTAGAGTATACAAAAATAATAATCTAAAAATTGTTCTCATTACACCACTTATTATGATTTGGATGGGATTTGGGATTTTTATGTTCTGTTTAAATTATATTAATATATCTGTATTTTTTTAATGTTGTAAGCCGCCCCGATTGCTCTGCAGAGGGGCGGGATATAAATAAATATTATTATTATTATTAGTAGTAGTAGTAGTAGTAGTAGTAGTATAAAGGCGAACTTATCACAGAGTTTGCATAGGAAGATTTGTTCAGAAGAGGTTTCGCACTGCCTTCCTCTGAGGCAGCGGTAGGCAACCTTTCCCCTTTAAGGGCCAAGGGACTTCAGCTCCCAGAATCCCAGGAGCTACTGGCCAACATGGGACTATTGGCCAACATGGCTGAGGCTTCTGGGAGCTGAAGTCCCTCGGCCCTTAAAGGGGAAAGGTTGCCTACCCCTGCTGAGGCTTTGAGATTGTGATTTGCCCAAACCACTCCAGTGGGTATCCATGGCCAAGTATAAATAAAAATTATTATTATTATTATTATTATTAAGTAGGGATTCGAACCCTGCTCTCCCAGAGTTTTAGGACCTTTGCAGACTGCCAGAAATAGTGCAAATTGATTCCACTTTAACTGACTTGACTCAGTGCTAGGGAATCATGGGAACTGTAATTTATTGTGGCACCAGAGCTCTCTGACAGAGAAGGCTCAATGTCTCAGAAAAAAATACAGTTCCCATGATTCCCTAGCACTGAGCCAGGTCAGTTAAAGTGGACTCAATTTGCACTATTTCTAGCAGTCTGCAAAGGCCATTAGTCCAACATTCAAATCACTGCACCCACAGTAGCTCTTAGTTCAGTCATAATTGCCCATATAAAACTCTGTGGCCAAGATCCTACATCAAAAAGAGTGTAATACTTTGCCTGAGCAGTCTCCATGCAGAAAGCTTTCAACCCTGGAAGAGTCTGCCGCTGCTCACCAGAGGAGAAGCAATACAGCAGCTGATCTGGTCTGAACAGCTTGAACAGTCCTGGGCTCGGGGTGGCTAAGGAGGGTGCACCCACAAATAAAGTGCACCCTCTTTATCCTTCACCTGGAAGTCAGACCAGCTGCATTTTCATAATCAGAATTGTTTCCACTCTCCCTGTTCACCAGTAAGCAGCAGCAGCCACCCCTCCCAGGCTTGAAAGTTTCCAAGGGAGGAGGTTTGGGACAGGGAACCAAAGGAATGGGCCCTTTTCAGAAGGAGACAACACATAAGCCACAAAAAGGTGGATTGTGTCCAGAGAAGGGTGACCAAACTGGTGAAAGATCTGGAAATCATGCCTTATGAAGAGAGACTTGGAGAGCTGGGTATGTTTAACCTGGGGAAGAAAAGGTTAAGAGATGATATGATAGCCCTATTAAATAGTTGAAGGAATGTCATGCTGAAGATGGAGCAAGCTTGTTTTCTGCTGCTCCAGAGAATAGGACCCAGAACAATGGATTAAAGTTACAGGAAAAGAGATTCCACATCAACATTAGGAAGAACTTCTTGACCAAGGGTAGGCAACCTTTCCCCTTTAAGGGCAGAGGGACTTCAGCTCCCAGAAGCCTCAGCCATGTTGGCCAATAGTCCCATGTT